GTAGTCGGATTTAAGGATGCATTTTTTTCTGTGAAAAAATGTTTAACAGTGGATCGGACTTATGCACTTATAGGGGGACATTTGAGAACATTTGAGACCATTTTGTTTGTCGCTCATTCTCTGGCGAGTTAGCAGCGCTGACCAGATAATGAAGTCAGATTCTCGTATTTTGAGGGTTGAGCACTCATTAGTGTTACTCTTCAGCACAGATAGACAGCAAGATAAGATCTCCAAGCAAGACAACTCAGTAGTTTACACGTCTCAAGCAACCAACATTTAGATTCTCTGTTACGTCGCGTTGTTATGGGACTGACCAGCTTGTCGCCCTAATCCAAAGGGTCTTGGAGAAGAGTTTTAGTTTAGGCACTTACATTATGGTGAGGTGCATCACAGGGCCTGGAATCAAGACGGCAGCAATAAGCAGAAAAACTCTGCCCACTATGAAGACCCAATGTATTCGTGCCGTAATCCTGTAGATTCTCAGTAGGCAAAGAATACAGAGCAAATTACCTGCTCGTTTTGATTAACTAAGAGCGCAGAGGGACTTGTTCACCGAGCATTACAACAGCCAATCAAGTCAGTGGGCTGAATATAATGGTTACTGTTTGCCTGGATTATAGATATTTGTTCAATCGCTTTCTAACTCTAAACATCACGGCCAGAGAGCTGGTGAGATTCGCTGTCACGATACTGCCTAACTAGGTGCGCCAGTTATGAGCATAACTTAACTGTCGCCCCTGACGAACGCGCTCGCTGGTATAAGTCACTCCGACCAACGGCTAGTCGGATGTGTGAGCCAAGCATGATCCCTTACCGTCATTTTATCCAGAGGGAAGCATAGTCCTTATCCGGCGGCTGCGAGGCGTGTATAACAAACAGCAGATTTTACCCAGAGAACATGTACGGTCTTGATATGCTGCTCCACCAAGCGAAATTCAAACTTCAACCGTGATAATGCCACCACGGTCCATTCAATCGGTACCCCTGACATTTCAATGGCCCAGTCAATGAAATTCAAATGAGCGTTGAAGGGTTGTTCACCAGAAAAATGTGGAAGCCCATCATGGATTGTTGAGGATGCTTTCTTGTTCTTGACAGACCACACTACCCATAGGATTGCTGACAGGATGTGTTTCGACATCTCGAGTACCCAACCGAGTAAAACATGAGACCAGGTGTGCGCAGCACACTCAGTTGAAAATTATCACGAAACAGCAATTCATCTGGAAATGAGTTCAGTCTTCCCTTAAGACGATATTTGTTTGCAGAAAAGTGTATTTCGCGAATGTGAGATGTCGGAGAGTAGCTTCTGTCGTTTGCTGTTGTCAAATGAGCATGGAACTTAACAGATAGAACAGAAAATCTCTGCTTATTTTTCCATCAGTCTAAGGAATAGGTCATTCTGCTTTGCAAAGACCAGAAATATGCGGTTTCGTCTAAGGTACTCTAAGGTGGTGCTGTATTCTAAGTAGATGCAATTCGCTCACACAGTTGATTGGCTACTCATGACTAAACGGTAGAATCTTCAATTAAACTTAACAGATAGAACAGAAAATCTCTGCTTATTTTTCCATCAGTCTAAGGAATAGGTCATTCTGCTTTGCAAAGACCAGAAATATGCGGTTTCGTCTAAGGTACTCTAAGGTGGTGCTGTATTCTAAGTAGATGCAATTCGCTCACACAGTTGATTGGCTACTCATGACTAAACGGTAGAATCTTCAATTACTAGACGGGTGGTTGTGGGTTCCCCCCCCCCCCCAATTATTCCCAAAAGCATGAGACAGCTGCACAGCTAATCTTAGTTTTTATGCTCACGTTGACTTAATCTGTGATGTGAAACGTTAAACGAAATATTCTCGATGTTTTGCTCCCTTCTGTACAAACAGCGGAAGTTTCGGTAGTGCGAATTAATCAATTTTAGCCGGCCTGATTGTGTTTTGCCAGGCGACAGCCGACTCTGTTTGTAATTCCTTCCCGCCCAATCACTGCTATGTCAAAAAATGCAGGCGCAGCACATTACAGAAAGATCATCTACGCTTTTTGACATTTCCTATTCGCACTCTCCGTAGATTCAGGGTTAAATTTAAATTCTCCAATTGTGACAATTGCTTTGCGCGAAATTCCGGTCATTTAACTTGAAAACACACGGGTAAACCGCTTTGTCAGCTAGCCAAATGTTTACTAGAAGAACTGTCTCTTCGTTTATGACGGATCGAATGAGTAGTTAACCAAGATTTTTGGTGAAATGTTAGAGCAGAGTTCGGTTTAATGGGAATTGCATTATAAGCAGTGCGATCTACTCGGAATTGTAGGTGCTCGGGGTTGGACAGAATGCGACCTCGATCTATGTGTACACACATGGCTTCTATGCACTGTCTAAACAATTGGAAATCCAATTCAACTAGCATGACTTCAACAAGGGATATTCAACATGACCAGCAAGCGTATCTCTTTCGCCAGCGCAGAATGGATGCACAGAAAATTCTCACAAATAGATATTCTTACAATATTCCTGTATGATTCGAAATAGTTCAAATGTTTGTAATCAGCCTACTGAACAAATTATTTGACTCACAGTGAAGTTGTTGAATACTGTCCAGGAACTGCTTAGAGGCCAAAGCGTAGGGAGAAAAACTACCCAGCCAAACTTGCACTGACGATATCTTCTTGGCTGCTGTGGAGATGTTAGCAACCCAACTACCAATCTTAATCAGCAAATCGTCATCCAACCGGTGTGGCCGAAGTAACCATTATCCCCAACCTTACAAACAAATTGGGGCACCCAACTTTTGAAACAGCTTGTCGGTGGAGGACTAACATACTAGCTGAATTACACTCGACAGTAACTTTTTCGTCCTCACGAATGCTTGCAACCAAGCTCTTTGCCAAGTAGCTTTTCCGACCAAACATCACTTAGCCATTCTAAAGCATGAAAACTCGCTGGGCAGAATAGTGAACGGTTGATAAGCTTGGATGCTTACAACAGACTAGCTTGAGAGGACCCACTACGAACAAAAAAGGAGACGTGTGAGAACAGTAAGATCCGCACTTGTAGAACGGAATTGCAGTCGTACTATGCAATGTTCGACTGAATAGAGGCAAGTCGAAATGGTCAACCAAGACAAAAGCAAAGCATAGATATGCGACATGCCCAGTAGGCAATGACAACAATGGCGGACTGACTTACCAACGGACTCAGTTATAGCTTCAAGGATGCCGGCACTCGAGATTATCTGACCAGACTCGAAGGGATCGCCGCAGTCAACAGTGCGTCAGAGTATCGCCCCAGCTAACTCACAAAGCAGGACACCCAACACCCTGTCTACTGCATAAAAAGAGCAGTAAACAGCACTAAGCGGACAAAACTATCATTGCTTTACCGACCGGCAGACGCGGAAGTCAGACAAATTTAAGGCTCCGCACTGTCTTCAGAATCACTAAACCGCAGAACTCAAAAACGGAATAAATACAACCATTGAACAACTCAGGAATTCTCACAAAGTAAAGGAGAGAAGTATGGGGCGATAAAGATTCGCTACTCGGAAGCTGCCTGGGTGTATGGGCCTCTAGATGTTTTCAAACACAGCAATACTACACCCAGTCGTTTTATCGCCAGAACAATATTTCAAGAGAATCGTGGAAGCAGGTAAAACAACTTACTAGTAAGTATCGGTATTCAGTAAACAATTCATGACAATTTCGGGAAGGACTAAGAAACGAAAACGTCGAAGAAGACAAAGTACTGGCGCTTTTTACAACATAACTCTATTGTGCGCTTGGATTGATTTGGATACTGCAAGGACACTGGTTGCTGAACTTCCGGACAGCTGGGGAACAATAAGCGGGAGACTGAGAAGAGGAGTTGTCTAGAAGATATTTTATCTATGCTTAAGAAACTTTGTTCAGATTCATTGGAGAGTATTATCGTTAACCCAGAGGGGCGTCAATGGCGTCACCAATCTCGGGATTTATTGAGGGACTAGTGCTGAGTTCCAATGAAATCTTAATCGTTCATCGGCTCCGAAAGCACGGATGACGGAAGTATTTGAATGCATGTCCAAGCATCGCAACCAACCGAGACCAAGTGCCTCAACCGTTAGCAGTCTTCCTTAGTTCATCGCGTTCTAGTTGCATCTGAGTCAAGTTATCGCATTCATGTTTGAGCGGAACTTCAAACTTTACCTGCCAGAAACTTAGTTCGACACCGCACATAGCAGGAACAGGTATACCTGGCAAACAGGTTTGTCATTCCTTGTGAGATCAACCTGGAAAGTCTTCTGTAACAGATGTCTAATCTCCGCTTCAAAAGTTTGGAACTAAGTAAATTCACGGACAACCGGAAAAAAGGCAACACAAGAAACCGGTACGACTTTCGTAACTACTACCACAAATATGATACTGATGGATTTGGTTTAAATAGGTTGAGTATATTGTCGCCCAAATCTGAGCTAAGTATTGGGCTAGTGCTTCCGCCACTGTTTTGGATCGCAGATAAATTAAAATGTCTCACAAACTTGTAAGCTTTGTCCCTGAGACTTCAGTACAGCACGGTTAGCAAGATGTTATTCGTTATGCAATGAGCTGAAAGTAACGTTGAGGTGTACACAGTCCAGTGAGAGCATTAGAAATCCTGAACAAATTCACTTTTCACTACTGGCCACAGGTTCAACGAGACCTTGGAACAGCTCACCATCGATTTTGCCCTTCTTGGGGCTCGCAACATAGGCTTAATCCATGAATTTCCATCAATCCTGTTTTCTATAAACGAGACAGCCTGGTGAGTTTTAGGTTGGCAGCCGGTTAACACCAACTAAATTTGCAAGTGATTGTCACAACGTACAATTTGTAAAGTACTAAATGAAGTATTACTTACCGTAAGTGCCGTTTAAGTTGCCACTTACAGTATTGGAATAAAACGGATGCTGTTTGATTTAATTTCGTTTACAGAGATGAAGAACTCTCATCTGCAGCACAGTTGATTTCAAAGTCAGAACCTCCTTATGTTGTGGCGAAAAGCGCGCAAAAACAAATTGCAAAGACGTTTCGGTCAGGTTCTATTGTTGCTGTTGTTGGCGGCATTCATATTTGTGCTGCGAGACGGAAGCCTATTGCTTAAGGGGTGCACGGAGAATGCTGAAAGGGAAGAAAGCGCAGAACCGTCAAGGCTGTCTTCGGAATTGGACAAAGACGACCATCGATTAAAGCAAGTAGGTTAACGTTCTTTCTAACAAACTACGGACACCTGTTTATCTGTGTGATTTGGTCAGCCTTACAAAAAATTTAGGGCACTTTTCCGTAATTGGCACCGTGAAAAGAAGCAAAGTTTGTATTCCACCTTATCCTCTAAGTCAACACACGATTCACCCATATAACATGTAAGAACAGATGGATGGCAACAGATGGATTGAACTCTGAGTTATTTGGTTAACAACTGGGGAATGAAATGCATGCGTTGATGGTGTGATATTCCAGAAACTGGCATGCCACTGATATCGGGGGGCAGTATTCACCGAGATTTGTACTGCTTCTTGCAAATGCATAATTTTCACTTGCTCGTTGCAAAGTAATTTTAAACAGAATTCACCAGACTTGTGATTCATAAGGTAAGGGGACTGACTGCAAAAACGAATCAATGTTCACCAGTTTTTCTCCCATTCTTGAAATCTGTGGGCATCTTCAATTGCTAGAAGAAATTAAGACCATACATTTTGCAGCCGTGAACAGTTTCATTCAAATAAGTTTCTGTACCAGTCTCCAATGGCCTTCCATACATTAAAACCGAATAGGCGATCCTCAAGAGTAGTGTCTTCAGGTAGGGTATGGCCAACTTGCCCTGAAAGAAAAGTATTTGCGATACGAGTAACATTTTCTCGTAAAGAAAACTGTGGTTAACTGTGTAAAGAGTCAACAGAAGACGTAAAGCTGCCCCTTAATGTTGTGATGTTGCACATCACGACTGTTGAGTCGGTGCTTAGTTGAGCTCTCTATCTGTTACAAAGCTTCCATATCACACAATTGTACCTGCTTACCACCTCCAGTCACGTGACTTATGATTGCCCAACTTACCTGAAGCTCACGGTAACCCAAACCAGTATGATACAAGTCAGTAGGACAACATCAACACATGGTTATCAGCAGAGAGTGTGTCCAGGATGATCTGACGGAATGGGGTCGAGTGCGTTTTATCCTAATATTGGTGTAGCTGACGATGCTACTGGTAAGGCGAGCGTGTAGGTTGTGGGTTCCTCGAAGCTCTACCCCGTGTCCAATGGCAAATGAGTTTTACTACGGAACTTGTGAAACTGCTATGCACCGTTCGTTTACGATTGCATGATAGTCAGTGAATATCCACGAAAGTTCAAGAAGACGTGTGAGAATGCTCAGTTTTAAAAATTATATGCATACAAGACATTTACATTTCTGTCGAACCGTTTGTAACTGTTTAGCTGGTGTATGCTTATGAACGAATTCGCGGCCAAGGGCTTTCTTCCTTACGTTGGTGGTGGGAGTGTGCGCACTTCGCACAGTGCACTCTAGATTCATTTGCTCCACGTTCTTGACCAACGACGTCGTTTAAGCTGCTCTTGCCTTAATTTCGATCGTGATACCCGGTGTCCTTTTTTATGATTATCAGCAGAGATATAAAATCAAGCTTCACGGGTAACTATAATCGCCTTTTTGAACTGAGATGTATATGTCTCGTGCACTCACTCCGCAACCAAGGACATTTTATCTGAGTGAAGGATGGAGTAGAGAGGAAACCACAGTATCCACATATCGACAGCCACTACAACATTTAACATTAACGTCGATTGTTGGAGTTCAATCGATCTTTTGCCATCTTTGAAGTCACAACGTTACGCAGCAACCCTGCAGAGCAGAGGTGTTGAAAACAGCAAAATTCCTTGCGAACTTGCATAGTTGTCCATTTAATGCATCAGTAGGGGGTTCTGAGTACACCTCAGATTTTGAAGCCATTCCCTGTTAAATCTGCTTTTCTTAGTTAAAAATAGTCACTCGTTAGATTCTGCTTGCAATGTTCCAAAATTCTCTCTATGGACACAACATATGGCCCTTAGAAACACTACTCACCAAGACTACTCTTATGGTGGGGAAGCTCAGAGCTGTCAAACGTTTAGAAACAAATTTGCATCACCTAAACTGATTGAAGATACCTCATTTTCCACAAACTCGGTTGTATTTTTTTGATGATAAAGCGGAGCCTTAATGATGCCTCACCATTTTTGAATATACCAGCTAAAAATCCAGAAATGTCACTACTGTCAAACGAACTGCACACGGCTGACTTGTCAGCCCAGAGTTTCAAACGATTTTGTTTTGTCATTTGGGTTAGACTTCTGGTGAAACTGTGATTTTTGCAAAATAGTTCGTTAATTCGTGAAGCAGTATTGGTTCATTCCATTCTGTCATTAGATTTCACCAGTCAGCAAATGCAGCTTTATGCAAAGTAGCCTGACACTTTATTCCATAAAACGCGCGAACCACCACTGCGTTATTTTTGCATATATCCACCCCTTCACCAAAAGCATACGTGGGCCATTGAGCTTAAAAATACAAACCCGTAGGAATGTCATCCAAAATCGCCATATGAGCAATGCTATCACGGCCAAAACAAGTCAAGTTGACAGTAAGTGGGTACTATCATCACTGGCATCAAGTGAATGGACAGATGTGCTTCAAAGAGTGTTTTTAGGCCTCATAATGATTTCTATCTTGTGATCAGCATCGAGCAATGATCACCAGGAATAGATAACTTCGAGACGGGCTTAACAACAGCCCGGTTGACTCAGTTAGGGAATTTCACACGGCTGTGTTGGGGCTTGAACGAGGGAAAATACACGAGAATGAGAACTAAATGGATTGCAGCCGAACGAAATGGTTCAAAAAGAAAATTATTGCATTTCTTGCCAAAATTTTGGACTCTGCTTAAAAAGTAAGAAGAATCAGAATAGAAATACTTAGACGTAATTTCTGAGACGCCACCTCTAATCAGATGGAGATTGCATCGAAGGTGACAAACTTTCCCAGTTTCTGTGTAAGGAAAAAATCTTTTAAGCAAATGTATCATGCACGACGATGAATGCTTGTTTGGGTCGATATGAAGAGCAAACTGGGAGAAGATCCGCCCACCTGAGAGACGGTAGAATGTGCAATATTCATTGATGGAAAAATACAATTTACTGGGTGTATGTGGCTAAGCTGGCTAACGCAAAGACATAAAGTGGGATTTTCCGGTGGCCGAGATTACCTGACGGTTTTGTATTGGTTTAAGGAGCTTAAGAAGAAGTGACTTGTCAAGCCAAGCGGTAATTCAACCACTCATTCGTTCTCGGCGGTACGTGATAATAACGCTCTTTCAGGGTATTCAGTAGTTCAGATTTCCGTCTTATTTACCCGGTGTTTTTGGTGCCGTAGACTTGAGGAGCCACACCCAGCGCAATAGATAATTCCACCGTGCGCAGTTCAATTTCAAAGCAGAATATCATTTACTGTTGCGACATTTTTAGTGCGACATCTTATTGGTGCTCTGTCTAACCCAGAATATCATGGTTATTATATCAGTATACTCGTCTTTTACAGTGGCCGACTCATAGTCCGGACATGAAATCAGTGCTCATTGCAAGAAGAATGAATGAGATCAAACGCAACTCTCATACACTCGAGGATTTAAGGACGAACTTACAGAGGAATAGTGATAACTAGATGAAGACCCGGAAATTTTTTTAAAGTTTAATTTGGCACAAACACGGAACCCCTCGAAGGGACCAGGTCATTCCCACCCTCCAAACGTTACTATTATATTGACAGGCAAATAGCTAACAACTTCCCCAGAATGGTCCTTTAGATTTCGACAACCCTTACCCCATCATTTCTTCTCTTTTCGAAAACCGAGGAATACGGATGCATATAAATGATTTTTGTTTAGCAATGGTGAGAAAGGACACTCTAAACCCATCTTTAGTGCTACTTGGTATCTTCGATGGACAATCCTGTGTCTGGCTAACGAGCTTCAACTCTGGATTTTCCACACTAAGTAATAATCCCATGACTTGTGTGCAATCCTCATGAGATCTACCCTAGAGCATCACCTTTTCGGTGGTAAGTGTGGTTTCTCTAATCAAGTTCAGTCACTCACAAGTGTAGCGGTATCGTCTACGTGCAGTTGGTAATCCAGTTACCTAATCCAGGTCCTAAGATGACCACTGCGTGGTAGATAAAATATTCTCTTCTCTAGATGGGAAATTGATGGTCATTAGATTCATTGGGAGAATTTCACGGGGCAGTGCCCAGCTACACTTGTTGGTTGTGGATCAGGTGGCTGTTGATCGTTGTTGTTCACCGAGCTTGGCTGATGGCTTGCAAACGTTCCGTCACCATACGAGAAGACCTCATAAGTGCGCAGTCGAGTGGCTACTTTCGTGAATCTATTGGTCCGTTTGTGATCTCTGTCGCGCTGTGGTCTGCGTTCCCTTGTGTTGTTACACTTCAAGAGGCCAAACACGTCAGCAGATTACAGATAGCCTTCGAATGCTATATAAACGCACGCAGGTAAGGAAGAAGTCCCCACTCAGGAGCGCACTGATGATGTCTCCTAATATAGTAACGAAACGTCTGAAAGCCAATAGCGGCCAATAGATCAACAGCCGCCTGATCAACAACCAATAAACTCACCCAAGCTACCAATATTTCAACACATTACCGAGCTATACTTAGCTTGTTGACGATTATCAGTTTAAACTTTGCAGTACCATCGAAAAACAGTAGAGCCGGAGAACTTTCCACTTACTATTTCCTGAAACTGATTTTGTAGATCATGTATGTTTCAGTTTTGTGATGCTTCAAAGCATATTTCTAGACTTAAAGTGGAGTTTCTTTGCCTCTGAGGCTATGCAAATCTTTCACAAAGCTGTGTAACTTGATCATTCTGATAGTTTAAGCATGGAAGAGCACCTTGATGTTGACAGTTCAGGTAGATCCAACCTGCCTCATACACCGACCGTGATTTTTATCGACACATCTGATAGCGTTGTGAAGGTCATTCCCCCATTGTTTGACTTCGCTAGAATGCATGGGATATGCGGGCCTCTGTTTATCAGGTAAACTGCTTTGATGGAGTAATTTTCCTTACCTGACTTAGATCTGATGATAGATCACCATACAGATTAAAATCATGGTGAATTTAATTCGATGTGAAGTGCAAAATATGCAAGGTTTCTGCTTCACCAAAAGGAATCCTACGAACGAATTTGGCACCAAGCCCCCTCGTAGAATTCCAAGTTTATTGTCCACGGTGGGAGGACCGCATTTCAGACAGAGCCAACTTGGCAGAATAGTTTATGTTCTGCACTTTAAAAAAGTATCTATAAAAAAACTTACTTTTCATTCGGCCGTCCTCCGTATCTGGGGTTTCATCGATCCCCCCAGCAAATAAGGGTCAACCTGACGCTAATAACTGCGATCACTGCATTTGGTAAAGCGAGCCGTTTCAGTAATCCAGAGGAAAGCAGAATTTACTCTGCAGATAAGTGATCATTCTTCTACTCACCCTATTTTTATCGTATTATCATTTCGCACGTAACATGATATATCACTACGTATGTTATTGACGATTTTTGACAAAAATCTGTAGGTTGTGTAAATTTGACCTGCAGTATATGAGCAGGGATAGGAGGACAAGCGGTTTTAGACGCTGTGCAGTCTGATTCGAAGAAGGAACTTATTCTTTAGCTACTGTACAGCAGAGGCAGGTTTGTCTTACTACTGGCTTATACCCATGTGATGAAGTTGTTGCTGGTTTATGACTTCGGAGTTGGTTAAAGTGTAGAGCGTTTCATAACGTTGGTTTTACTCCGTCGACTTCTCCCCTATGGAATCCGGTTTGTTCTTTTGCAAACAAACACAGACTGATGGCTCATGCTGTTTTTCATGACTCTATTTTTACCTGTGTCCAATTAAATTAGAACTTCGACCAAAATTATACTCTAAACCTCATTTCCACAGTAAAATTTAAGGACCTGGAGACTCGATAAATTCCATCATGATCAATAGCACCTCATATTTTTTCGCATGATGTCCAGCACACAGGCTCCCCAGAGGTTTTGCCGCGGAGATACTCAATGAAGTCCGTTTATTCAAATTAAGTAGGATGAGATGTTTGGTCAATATCCGTTGACTGCGCCTTCCTCGTGAGCCACAACCAGGGATTAACTGGTAGCTGGTTGCCTACCCATCTTGAGAAATCGCTGCATGTTACTTCATTCGAAAACAAAATGAACTCCATTTAATGTCCTCTCGATAAAGCCTCAAGTTTTTCCCTGTTCTGAGCATTATGCAATAGGACTTCGGTGTGGTGTTTTCCACGAGGAACTCCATCGAGTCCTCAGCTCCGGGTTTTCTTCTTGAACATGAGTTATAAAGTAAAAGCTTGATCAACTTGTTTTTAAGTTAGGCTCGGAATACGGGAACTACGTCAAGCTAAATGGCCCTGAGCAGGCCAAAACCGGTCGTGGGATATCTACGGATTTTCAGCAATCATTCTCTACTACCCACTTTAGGAACAAAAGAAAGTTCATTATGCATCGTCGTAAATAAACGTCCGGATAGTTCGTCCGCCGCACCTTGTGCACCACTAGCCACTAGGGGCACTTTGAGTCTATAGTCCCTGCGATTCCACCAGTCTTCAAGGAGTTTCATTTCAAAAGTGAAATAGTGTTACCATCATATTTTCTTAGTTTGTGTTATTACGTGATGCGGACTGGAATTTCTAAACGTCCTTTAAAATAATGCAACCAGTAGCAGGTAGGCTCACGGTAAAAGAATGCCCGACTGCGGCGGATCTGACACTACTCATTACTTGTTAGTCGACGACAAGATCACCGAATAGCTATTACACACTCGCATTTCAGTAGCAGTAGCCTCGTCAATTTTATCGTCATTCATTATCTTCTGAAAGAATCACCAGTTAGATATTCAAAGTCTTCTCAGTAGCATTATGTAGAAGAGAAAGAAGCCCTAAAAATCTCCTGACTTATTATCTTAGAAAGTGTTACATCAGGGTGTGGTCAATCTAAATACAGGTTGGTCACCCGCTAAACTGAATAGTTAGTTTCCACTATTGATCATAAGGTCGTAGGTTTGATTGAAGTTTGTGAGATGTGCACTTTATACAAGAATAAATTTTCTGTGCAATGTTTTGTGAAGATCAGCGTGGATTACCTTCAACTTCCAAAGGCCGATTGCATGCTAACGCGGAGTTTTTCTTCGAACTAGAGATCGATAGGTGCAGCTCTTATCACCTGATTTGACTTAATGTGGTTTGATCGCCAGGCTACTGAGGTTAGTGCCGCGGAAGTCAGATACGAAGCTAAACACAATTAACGGGCAATGAGCACCTGGAAGCAAGCGTGCTTTCTAAGATCACGCGAAAGTACACAACTTTCGATCACACAGACAAGTTGCTGATAATTCACCAAAAAGTTTTAGAAAAAGCACAGCCCAGCTTCGAACCAAAGTGATGAATGAAGAAAGGAGGGGTTGTCGTGATCGCCACAGCTGTGTGGTTCAGAATAAGAACTTGCGGGACCAACAGAAATGTGATCATTGGTTAAAGACAGGGCATAGAGGGATTCTACTGTTTTCATTTGTAAATTAAAATATTTTGGTCATGTTAGAAACGAGCTAATTTATGAGAAACCCTAGAAGTATCAGTCACAAAAGATAATACGTCCCTGTTTGAACTCATGCAATGGGCTAGAAGAATTGGTCACGTGAGCCTGGGTTAGAAATACGGAACTTAGACGGCCGAAGTTTTTCGAATTTGATGACAGTTTTCCCCAAGAAATGCTGTGCTCATGGATTTGTAACTTTACACTTCCATAATGATTGTTTTATTTCTGCAGTAAGCATCAGTATTTAAAGCCTAGTTAGACCAGTGGTGACATTCTTCAACTGGGCGAAACAATGATTTCTCGAACTCTCATAAACCGTTCCTATTCTCTGGTTGCTAGAAATTGTAAGTTGCCTTCCTTGCCCGGAAAATTTCCGCATTTACGAGCTAGTGCGCAGAACAAGAACGCAATGTAAAAACAATGAATTAATACCGTTACCCAGTTGAGTTACTGATTATTTATTGCTCGAAACTCCGGATTTCTGTTTTTCTTCTAGATAGCTACTTCTCTTCCGATTCAACTAGCTATGGTCGTTGGAGGAGCTCAGGCTGCACGGCAAACATCCACACTGTTGAAAAGTATAGTATACTTCGCACAATGGACACATAACTGCAGTGGTAGAAATCGATCTCATGACCGAAACAAACGAAAATTCGATGGCGACAACAACCGGTTTCCTCAGCTGCATCTTCACATGATAGTGGACCGTCATGCACTTATCAGCTTGAATTCTCTACTCCGAACGTGGGAACTTCCGGGAGTGCATTTCTCATTGTATTCCGTCCATGACTATGAAGTGAGTCAAATAACAGTATTGCACATTTCACATCCATCTTATTAAACACAGTAGCGTTTTCTGATGTTTCCCCATTACAAGACAACATACGTTTTGTTGTGATAATCACTTTCTGTCCCAGAAAACATGGTGAAGCAGCTGGCTTGTGGAACACATTGTGGTTGATATCTTCTGATATCTTTTGTATAAAAAATCGTCCTTAATTGGTAACACTTCCAGCGGGTGGTTTAGCCTAATTAGTCAATTACGCAAAATATTATATATATAAACTAGGCGATTTTTTAATAATGCAGTCTGAAAACCCGGGTTTTGGTAAACTAGATTCTTCGGTCATGTCACCAGCTGAGTTTTATAAAAATGGTTGATTTTAAAAGCATTTGAAATGAGAACAGACTTGGCTGAAGCCCACAGGGAGAACAGCATTAAACTTTGCCGGCTACAGGAGAAGCTTTTTAATGTCCACATCAAAACGCGTGAACCATGCGCCTTACTGAAGATGAAAGAGGTACTCCCTGAAATGTAGTTCAAAGAAGGTCGTTTGGAGCAAGGGATGACATCATACGGCGGCAGCGACAAATTGCATTCCGTTCGATTTCATTCCATTTCTCCAGTACTAAAGTAAGCAAACTGAAAGTCATACCTTCAAAGCACCAGACTTAACGTGTTCTAACGTTTTTTCTGTTTTGCCTGTGGTTATACTACTACTTAGTTTAGAAGAACAAACTAGATGCTTTCTGATGGGGTCCTTGGACCTCTGCGCAAGAATGGTCTGAGTTCCGACTCAGAACAGCCAGAACCACAAAGATAGTCGATCTTGCCACAAAAATACATTTGGCATTGATCGACAAACTTAATCGATTGGTTCTGCTCATCGCTGCTTCCTATATAGTGGTGTCCGCAGAATCAAATTATCAGTGATGCACCTGATGAGAACATGGGAAAATGTTACTGTTGCGCTCTTTGTGACCACCTTTGGAACTAGATCGTTCAGTTGAACAGGAAGGCTTAGGATGGGGAATACAGCTGTTGAATCAAATATGGTTAAATACTTATAGTGCACACAGTCCAAAAACTGTCATACAGTTGGATATCTGTTTGTACTGGACTGACACTATCACGTTCTTGAACAATGCCTGTGCTGAGGTCCGCTCAACCGCTGAATATTGGACAGAAGAGTGGCGATACTTGGATCTCAAAGAAATACTCCAAAAGGTCCCGGAAAAATCAAGTCTTAGGAAATGTTAGACATCAAGTGAAGATTTGCTTGCACTTTGGCGGAGAATCCTTGTGGATACAGAAGGCTAAAAAATGCAAGAAGTGGTGATAGCCGGGAATGCCAGAAGACTATTTCGGCTAGTCCACAGGACGTCACCCAAAACTGCCTGGTGGCGAAACGATCATGGATCAAACTGACGCGAACATCTTCGGCAAAGAAAAACGCCTAGACCGATGGGTCGAGCACTTTGAAGAACGATTTCTGCACCCGACCGCTGCACTTTAATCGGCTTGTCGTGGTGCATTAGAACCCTTGGGCAAACCTGAATGAAATTGGCACACCCGAATATCTTCGAGGTTTCAAACTGTTTGTGCTCTCTTTAGCGCCACCGAACTCCTGATCCAGATTGCATTACTTCAGCACTGCTCAGGGATGGACGTGGAGCTCGTAATCAGTACGCCTCGATTTAAAAAAGCAAGCTGCCCTACACAACTGGATAGGACTAATGATAGTGCCCATTCTTAAAAAAAGGCCCGTAATGAGTGCGGTAATCTACAGTCACTGGTTGGCCCTGGCCGGTAATCCCGTAAAACCTCATTAGAGTTGCTTGCTTCTTCAGTTTTTTGCATTTGGTAGATTGATCAACTACCTGGTCCACGGTGCAGCCGTTCTTCAAGGACAGGATCCGTGGGCTAGGTATAGCTAAAATTATCTGGTGATTCACAAATCACTTGGATGTCTGTCGCACAGCAATGATCGCTAATCAAACATACCGTGTCATTAGATAGACAGGATTGTAACTGGTACTGTTTCAGTCAAGGTCGTCACGACATGGCAGCTGATTGTCTGTATATATTCAGGGTTGAACTTACTGTTCTTCGAAAGAGTTCATGACTTTGCAGGCACAAGGTTTCGAAATCAGGTCAGAAGTGCTAAGAGGAAGGCTCTAAAGCGTTTGTGAAAAGCAACATGGATTCAAATTCAAACGAACTAGGAAGCTCTAGTCGCATGCAAACTGTTGTTGTTTGTAAGTCCATAAACCGAATGTTCCTATTCTTGGCTGACGGAGAACAATCGGTCTGGCGAAAAAATTAGCATACCTGACAGTCTGGAACCACCATATTTGAATAGTGAGCCACTAACCAGGGGATGTGGGTTCGAGCCATGCCATTCACACACCCCAGTGTACAAAACTTGCTGAAAAAATGTGAAAAAACATCAGGTAAGCGGAAGGCAGGTGGGACAGGGTGGCTTGCTCAGACAGGTTTCCAAGCTGGAAGGACCTACGTTGCACAAAGGGCTTATTCACTGATTATGTATAGTCTACGAGCAAGATGAGGTTTCCCAGGACCTCAAAAAAAACGATCATAGACGGAATCGTCGGTATTATACGGCATTATGTTATGATATGCAAGTACTGGTATAGGTGGTTAAAAAATCAAGGGTAGGTGCTTCAGACGGACTCGATTTGCTTTGAACTGCCGAGATGCACCCACTGGCTTCACGCTGAGAGTTGGTCACTAATGCAATTAAATACCAAACCATTTAATGTATCTGCCAACTAAATTAAGTACTTTACCGTTAGCCTTTCCAATAGATTTTGATACCTGGTTTTTGTCCTCGCCTACATGCTGCTTATCCTATATTATACCTATACATTCATATACATATATACATATTTACATATATATATATATATTCCGTTTGATCCTCCATTCGTATTAACAAACTGAATATTTTGGTCTTCCAATTCAACAATGTAAAAATAAGAGAGTAGTGAACAGATGAAGCGCGTTATCATCTGATGACGAAATATCTACAGAGCTCTTTGGTCCTATTCCTCAGGCCAACAAATACTAAATGAAACTGAGCGAAATCCCGACATCGACATCCACAGCAGTACTTTCGGTAAAATTGATTTGCCTCTATTCGGGCACGAAAGTATAACCCTATCATGGTACAGAGAAATCTGATTGGGTGTGTTGTCCTCTAATCGGAAGAAATCTCTGCTCAAGACAAGGTCCCCAGGTGGGATCGATGTTTTTTATGTAACATGCAAGAGACCACGTATCTTCAATCCTTTATCCTGCAAATACGATTTGTCGAATAGTTCATCCTATAGACATAAAAGTCATTCTTTCATGAAAACAATTCTCCGAGGTCATCGATGTTCTGTATACCAACTCAACCTAATAAGATTGTTCCGGAAAATATTTTTGTCAGCATAAATGTTGGTGATGCAAAATGGTTACTAAGATGGAACAAATGATGAGACAATAAAAACCGACTACAAAGCTCGACGGTTCATAACAAACCCAAGCTAACAAACCATGCTCGTAATTTTAACTTTGTCACCTCACTGAACTAGATGTAAGACTGCACCCTGCCGGAACGAGTCTAATTAAAGTTGACATTGTTGGAAAGAAAATACCGCGCGCAACGCCGCCCAGCGCACGACATTCAGGTTGGGTGTCAGATTCCACCGGAAGGGTATGAATGCCCACATGTCTGATATAAATTTGTTTTATTTTCACCAGAGAATAGGAACTCTGAAAATGCGAATCAAGGTCAACGTGGAGATGACTTTAGTTTATCTGGGAATTTCAAAATCCAGTAAGCAACTGGAGAGGGAAAGGTAAATGAACTGTGATGAACAAATTTTGAGTTCACTTCCATTGGGGCGCATCTCATTAGCTTAAGCTTCAGTTACATAGCAGAGTAAGCATGCAGAGAGAAAATCCGGGTGAAAATCTTTCACTATTCATATGCAACTTTCATTAGTAAAGTATTTCAGGAAAACACTGACCTAACTAAGTCTCCTGTTTAACGGGTTCGTGTCCAGTCACTTACGTCAACGGTATGAGATGAACAAGCTCGACAAAACGATGTATGGAAACCCGGGAACAGAGTAGGCACATCAGAATCACATCACAACCATAACGCCACTCAATAAAATACGCTTTCTGTAAATCATTAGGAAGTTTGGGTGTGCACCGGAAGACTTTCCTAACAGTATGTTTTTGTGCAGCTAAATTCGTGTGTCAGGACAAACTACATTGGATGAATTCGGTCAGGATATTTTGATATCTGTTTGTGATAGATGAAAGCAATCATCCGTGACACAGCCGCTTTGGGATTAACCCTTTTCAAAGATGAGTTGGACAAAGGTGACAATGACTTGGACTATTTAGTTGGCATTAAGAGGAACCGATACTTTACCTAGTCAAAGTGATGCCACGCAGCATAGCGGTTTAACTGGTAAGAATAGCGAATGGCGTTTGCTAATGAGCTATTCGAATGCGAGGAAAGTTGCCTTCATTCACAATGTTCTTTCACTGGTTGTGAATGTGATTTACAGGAAAACCAGCAAGTCTAGCCATATAGGACACTTAGCAGTGAAATGGTCCGAAGCTGAAACTTATGACGATTGACTCTGTGGGCTAGGATGCGAAAATCGTTACAAATAATATGATGGGACGGATCGAAAATGGCCAACAGTTCATAGTTTGCAGTGCATGGAACCTGTCGATCAGGCACAGCCCCGGAATTTTATTTCCGAACGTGGAATCCTTAATAATGACACATATTGTAACGTTCAAGTAAATGTATAATGTTGAAAAACATCGATTCAGTGCAGACGGTTAATTGTCCGGTGGAGACAACAGGAAAAATGGCATTAGTCTCATGTTCGTTCCCGATAACAGTGGCCACTTCCCTAATACGGCAGGATCTGACTGTTTTGCTCTCAGATACACTGGAAGTACAAATCACAGGACGTTTGTTTTCTCGGATCACTTGATTTGCCATTTGATGTCCGACAAATATATTTTAAGTCTTAAAAAGCATCCACTCATGATTGTTGCTGTACCCTCATATTCCAATTTATCTATCCCAGAAGGAGGTCAGTTGGATACCTACAACTCATTATTCCGGAACGTTCGGACTCTGTAAACTGCTTCTTCCGGAGATTCTTCCAGCTACGGTAGAAAAGGTAAGTTTTGCCAATAAAAAAACATAACCGAGTCCGATTCAAGTCATTTGTGCAAAAACTACCCAAAATAATGAAATGAAACCCCCTCATCTGGTACATAAATGTATCCGAATTTTTTAGGTACGGAACTGGTGTTTGACATCATTCAACTACGGGGTGATATATTAGCATTTTTTATGAGTCAGTTTCGCTGGAAAAAACTTGGATTGATTTCCGAGAAATTCATTTTGTTGTTGTTTCAATGGAATAGTCAAAAAAGATATTGCAGAGTCCAGACTTTGTGGACATGGGAAAGTATAAAGTGGTATAGTTTCAAGCTCGATTTTCAAGCCGTTTCTCCTTTCACCAACATTCACATTTTCTTCTTCCAGTAAAAACTACTGTGCTTGATGTTACGCATGACCCTGAATCGAACTTGCCTTATTAATCTAGTTGTTTTATAAGAGCTTGGGTCCAACTGAAGAGGCTTAAAACCTTTTTAAAGACACCAAAAAGAATTTGTTTGAGAAGAAATTCCTCTAAAAATAGACAACCTTGTCATTAAGATACAGTGTATTCCGGAAACTTGAAATGCAAGAGAGTTTCCTAACGGGAAGAAAGTGATGGACCTTGAAGACGTTTATTAGCATGTTAGCCGTATCTATCAATCAAGCAACCTATCCATCTATCTATCTATCTATCTATCTATCTATCTATCTATCTATCTATCTATCTATCTATCTATCTATCTATCTATCTATCTATCTATCTATCTATCTATCTATCTATCTATCTATCTATCTATCTATCTATCTATCTATCTATCTATCTATCTATCTATCTATCTATCTATCTATCTATCTATCTATCTATCTATCTATCTATCTATCTATCTATCTATCTATCTATCTATCTATCTATCTATCTATCTATCTATCTATCTATCTATCTATCTATCTATCTATCTATCTATCTATCTATCTATCTATCTATCTATCTATCTATCTATCTATCTATCTATCTATCTATCTATCTATCTATCTATCTATCTATCTATCTATCTATCTATCTATCTATCTATCTATCTATCTATCTATCTATCTATCTATCTATCTATCTATCTATCTATCTATCTATCTATCTATCTATCTATCTATCTATCTATCTATCTATCTATCTATCTATCTATCTATCTATCTATCTATCTATCTATCTATCTATCTATCTATCTATCTATCTATCTATCTATCTATCTATCTATCTATCTATCTATCTATCTATCTATCTATCTATCTATCTATCTATCTATCTATCTATCTATCTATCTATCTATCTATCTATCTATCTATCTATCTATCTATCTATCTATCTATCTATCTATCTATCTATCTATCTATCTATCTATCTATCTATCTATCTATCTATCTATCTATCTATCTATCTATCTATCTATCTATCTATCTATCTATCTATCTATCTATCTATCTATCTATCTATCTATCTATCTATCTATCTATCTATCTATCTATCTATCTATCTATCTATCTATCTATCTATCTATCTATCTATCTATCTATCTATCTATCTATCTATCTATCTATCTATCTATCTATCTATCTATCTATCTATCTATCTATCTATCTATCTATCTATCTATCTATCTATCTATCTATCTATCTTCTATCCTATCTATCTATCTATCTATCTATCTATCTATCTATCTATCTATCTATCTATCTATCTATCTATCTATCTATCTATCTATCATCTATCTATCTATCTATCTATCTATTGATCCATCTGTCACCTGCGGTACCTGAGTATGAAAAATTTCGGTTTTTCAATGCCAATGTACGATGGTTCGAGGCTTCATTTCACAGCGGCATTAGTATATTTTTGACATTTGTGCTAGTATCTTATTGGCTTTTAATTTTCTAACCAAAATCCTGTATTCTAAAGGCGTGTCCGTAGATTAGTGTGTTGACTGGGTTACTGTATTTGATGGCCAGCAAGAATGACTCAACAAGTTACACATCGCATTCTAGATACAATCTTGCGCTTTTGCACTTTAGCCAAAAGGCATGAAACATCAAGTTTCAATCCACTGTTCAACTAACTGAGCATTTACATTTCGGCTTCCTGAAGGAATTCATGGATTGTGATGCACCGGAAACACTCAAGACCCCCGGCACTCAAGCTACGCTGAAGAAACAAAGATATGCAAGTCCTCATTGGAATCGAGAGATACATCCAATCGGAACAATGAATGTTACTATACCACATTCGAACCTTCCCCAAAAGAGTAAATTAAGACTCATTTTTCAAAGTGCTGACTGAAATAGCACATATGTTACTAATGAAACTCTAGCAAGCTCTCTATTGAGATTTTCGCCTGTATATTAAGTATCATCGACCTTCAAATTTACGCAGTCAAGACTAGGCGGAACACTCAGAAAAAGATGCTTGTTCTATCCGCCTTTGAGGTTACTTATGATTTGTGAGTAGGCGAAAATTATATGATCTTTTGCTGATTGCGGATCGCAAATGCACAGCGACTGCTCAGTGTAGTGCAATAAAAAATATCTAAATTTTTGCATTTGTTAAACATTTTGTCACCGACTGAGTTAACAGCGTATGCTGCGAATCCCTATGGAGGGTCGACAGTTATCGTGCATGTTTCTGTAAGTAGTACGCGTGTTTGCACCCAAGGAGCAGTAAATCCGGTTCAGCGCGCGAAAAACTAATAGAAATTATAACCCACGTATCTTAAAACTTGTTGAAATTTATTTCCGTTTGTTACAGGTCATTGGACTGGATGTGGACCTGATACTGAATGCTGACATCAGAGAACTCTGGGATTGTTTTGATCGTTTCACACATTCTCAGGCAGGTTATAGAAAGTTCACCAAAGATACATTTTGTGGATACTGGTGACATTTTTCGTTCTATTCCATATTAGCTAAAATGGAGTGTTCATGTGGAGAAAACAATAACCACAGATAATTTCGTGGTTTTCCTAATTCTTGGGATGCATTTTATCGGTTGTTTTAAGTGTGAAACCCTGTTGTTCTGACAATCATAAGGCTGGCTTCAACATAGGACACCTTTTTGGAAGGTCTAGCTAACTGTTTTAAGTCCAGTTGCATTTAGGAAGAGAGACTTTAAAAACCCCACACGCGTTTCGGACTGACACGTAACCAGTCAACCGAACAAGTGTACACCGAATTTATTAACAATGACAGCTGTTCACGAACAATCGCCACTGGATGTCAGTCGAAAGGGTTGGTTTTTTCGTGCTCTCTGGATTATTGTTCATCACCTATTTGATGTGCGTTTCTGCTTACGTGGAAAACTGGGTACCGGTCCAAGAGAGCCGTCGGGCGTTTTGCTCGCCTCATATTCCGCTGAAGGACATCAAAAAAAAGAAAATAATATATATCTTGACCATGTCTCAGTAATAAGTATACAAGCGAATTTTGACCGGCAGGTGATCCGAGAAGCAAACCGCTCAACTGAACGTACGACCTAATGGTATCGACTGAGGAGTGCATTCTTCACTGCCCAGGGCAATGTAACTAGTCCTTTTTAATCTCACATATGGAGCTGATCGGTGAACAGAGGTCCAAGCTATCCCTTGAACACACACATTACTGCGACCACTTTCACCAAATGGACATTTTGTCATAGGCTAATACAAAGAATAAGTAGGTTTTCTGGTCAGCTGAACATGCTAAGGAACATATCAAGTAACAAAACAAATCTTCAGTCAATGTCATGTTCACCTCGCTCATGTAGTCGACCAGGGCAATCATGAAAAACGAGCGACCCGTGATTGTAATCCGCTAAACAGATCAGGTCATTTATGTCCGTGGCAAAAATGGCCCTTGTTAATCTACTAAATTAATTAACACCGGTGACCCGTATGGATCATATAAGGGTTCAGTAAGTGACAAGCCATTTTTTTCTGATAACTACTCGTGTTTGGTTTCATAGACATTTGCAAAAATTGAAACTGCTCATCTAGATCTCTCATTTCGAGGCAACGTTTTGCATTCCAACACTACTTCGAGGAAAAAGCCACCAAACACACATCGAACAGGTTCCAAGAACTTAAGTAACCTAGCCTTTTCATGTATGGGGATTATAACAGTAGAGGTCTCATTGTGCGAATATGACCACCGAGTGAACTCTTTCTGTACATTGATGGTTTGAAAACAAAATTGTCAAGATGATATCCATCGACAATTTTAGGATCTCATCACACGTCCAACAAGCTACAAGTAGTTCAGAGAGAAAATTTTTTTCACGAAATGAGTGAAATAATCATCGGGAAAGTCGTTACTTGAGGGGCCGATCGGAGACCATGGTGTATGGATTTCATGACTGAACGATGAGCAACGCCATATCCTGTCTAAGTGCGAGTTAATCGCACTGCTGATAAGGAGAACATGCTAAGTTTTCAGATTACAAGTCGTAAGGTTGCGGATTTCAAACTCCCCCGCTTTGCGTCTGATGCGCACTGATGATGATTCCAAATAAGGGCAAAACAGATACAAAGTGCTTGTTGGCCCTTCTGCACAGCTTGGCCTCACCCACTGGATGAAATATCCACTAAACGCAAAGTAATGTGAGACCGTCATCCAGGTGAGAGTCCAGTATACCTGTAGGGTGTTTCTTAGCACTAGTGCTTTGTCTGGTAAGGTGCTAACACTTGCTAGTGTTTTGTCTTGTGGAGTGTTCCAACTTGATTAAATCTATCTGACGAGATTTTCGTTGCAGGTGATTGGACTGGTTCGGAACCAAAGTCCGTGGTATCTTCAGGGAGCGCAGAATACCGTGTGGCCCGCACTGGTAAGGTTCATACTGAACGCATTAAATCTAGTCGGTCATTATCACATTGAAGTGTTTCGTGCGTGAAGTGCGTCAGAACAACTGGGTAGGGGACAGTCACCGACACTCAGTGAACCAAAATTCAGGACAAACAGTCATCTACGGAAATGACACGAAAGTTTGGGGTTGACCGGGAAAGTGTTGCAAACCCACTCCACTGAAAAGATAATCAGAATTGGAACTTCTTGTTCTCGGGCTTAGCGTTAGGTTATGCAAGTTATTATGTACACAAAACTCCCACTTCTCTCGGGTGTTCATAAGTTGTTCATGCAAATGAATTTACCAACAGACTGTGAGAATTTACCATTAAAGCAGCACAGCTAAATGCCCATATCTTTCTGAAGCTTACCACGCAGAATATTGGATAAATCGGGACTTTTAAAATAAAGAGGTAGATCTTTTGCACCTTATAAATCTCTTACGTGGCGTACTATCATCACGACCCCGATAAAGCCCTTCGGAACTCTGTTGTTCATCCCACCAGAAGCACTAAATTTTCAGTCTAACTGATCCGAATAAAGGACCTAGCGGTGTGCAAATATCCCCAGTCCTCAGTCAGAAAAGGCTAAACTATGGTGATTTCAAAGTGGAAGTGGCCAACTGTGGAGAATCCATGCATGCCTTACGCGTCCCATGCTACTTAGAGCTCCGAAGGTATGCATGGTCAGAATAGGATTGCCACAGGTGCACGCTCAAAATCCACACTCTCCAGATCGAAAGCCACCGGGTGATTGACATCATATGTACACTTGGCTTTTGGAAGATCGATAACATCTCCTTAAAAACCTCGAAACAATTGATTGGTGATTACCAAGTCTTCTGTATGGATCCTCAGGCGTCAGAAACAATATCCCAACTGTTTCGTGTATCCAAATTCTTTTGAGGCTATACTTGATCCTGTGGGCGGAACAGATGAAATCAATACAATTTACAAATGACAAAAGCGGATTGATTATCTAAATTATCCCGCTGACTGATGTACAGCTTTTAGCAAATCATTAATTTGATTGATTTTACAATTTGTTCTGATATATTACATCTTTGTCTGTTGTCTTGCCTAGGTGATGCATTCATATATCGGCTAGATCTTTTTTCCATAACAGTAAACCATAATCGGGCAGCCTGTGACAGATAAATGAGCCAGGTATCAGAGGTTGTTCATAGTTCCACTGAATCACATGATGTGGTTTCCGTGATCAAAGGATGGGTGCTGCTTTCTCCCATCTACCTGAGAGCCAATCACACTCCTGATCAGCTACTTATGGCCAAACAATCAATTGTTCAGGCAGCAATCGAAATGAGTTGTCTGTACGAACCAGTACTTTGTTTCTGTCCGTTTTAGGGCTACGGATACAACACAGGTGTGATGTTGCTGCATCTCCAACGGATGAGATTGATGCGATGGAAAGAAGCTTGGCAAAGTGTGACGAAGTCTACTTTGCAGTATCTACCTCACGCCCCCTTGGCTGATCAGGTAATGGTGTATCAAAGGAGGATAAGAAGATTAAGTGCTATTTTCCACATATTTGTCATGACATGCGGTAGCTGATGACGTTCTCGAGTCGGCGTAATTTAGGGGTAAAATCGTACTACTGATTTAATTATATAGTAGCTCGCTTTAGATGCAACTTTAATATACGAAACCATCGTATTGCGCAAAATTTTCGGCCGAACGTTAAGCTTGTGAAACTCGAGTTTCTTTCCGTTACGGCACAGACATGGGTTGATGATGACCTCGTTCCGGAGGGATTGGAAACTCAGATAAACTCATAGTGAGTGACAGAACGGTATAATGCGTGCAAATATATACCATGACTGCTTCATCGAAAGGCACTTCGCTGGGTGATAAACCAGAAGTGATATTCATAGTATCGAAAAAGAACATTTACAGTGAGCTTCCTTAAAGTTTTTCGATGCTTTTACTCTGATTAAATAGACACTAAAGATACCCCTACAAAGGACCTAGAATGCAGCACAAGTGTGTGGGGAAGCATGTACGCGGCCTGTGCCACTGCCGCAAATAAGGCACCGACTTGAAGTGTATTCACGACCCATGAATTTCTTAGTTAACCTTCACCTATATGCAAACAGCTAGAATAAGCAGAGGGCTTGAAACACGAACAGGGCGCAGAGTGGGACTTAACTCAACTTACCAGATTCTGGCAGAACGCAGACGGAGAAAACGGCACTTGTATATACGTAATGCATTACCCATAAGTTTGTTGGGAATTCTTCGCCAGCGAACGACCGGTTTCGTCCTTCTTGGAGCTCATCAGGTTGGCGCATTCTTCAAGTTACCATCAACCTTGTGTTTTACTTGAAACCAAGGCAAATTCACTTGCCTGTAAACATCACAAACGAGGGATTTTGGTGGGTTCCAAATGAGTCTCGCAAAACCGAATTTCTTTGCAAATTAGTGTATTTCGCTAATTTCGTGCAATTTAGCTTCAAGTAGAACATAAGATTGTCGGAAACTCGGGGAGTGCGCCTAACTCATGAACCACAAGAAGGGCGTAACCGGTCGTGGGTTGTCGAAGAATTTTCAGTAACCTTATGACTAGTGCATTGCGTATAAAGATATCTATCCACTATAAACACACAACCCCCAACAAGTAAAAGAAATAACTACTGTGGCGAATGTTGTTAACGTTGAAAACACTGAAAATACGTAGCACATCGATCTGAGAAAAGGTTACCGGTTACTATCCAAGTGAAATGAGTTCTTTCCATTCAGCCTGCACGGTTACTATACGCTTATTTTCCACGAAATTCCACAAAGAAAACTTTTCTTGAGGACGATGTTGTAGATAGGCAGAAAGAGAGCAAACTAAGGCAGTCCTTGATGGAAATCCATATTCAATAGACGCTACAGCACTAGAGGTTCATCCGTGCATTAGCATTTTAGATTAGTCTATTTTCACCAAAGAGGCAACTTCCGGAGACCATTATGCCGATTCGTCGCGGAGTATGGAGTAGGTGTAATTTTTGAAAGATAGAGCTAGGCTTGTCTGCTCAAGGCTACTGTCCATCTGTCAAGATTGATTTATTAACCATGATGGACAGTTGAGTGCCTTTCCATTGGTGTCATAATTGTGGATATCGAGAAGTCAAAATGTGCACGAGGTTGCGATTTTGGATGGCTGTTCAAACTGCCTCAGCAAGGACACTACTCTCACTTTTGATGAGTGCAATACTCATGCGGCTCTTGCTATCTGTATATTTGATCTGTGTCGTAATTAGACTGGGTAAACTGTAAGTAAAGACAGTGAGAATGCTACTGCTAACCGATTAGGGATGCAACAGACTATAAACTGATCGTTGAATGCACATTAGACAACATTTCTATAGAAATTAAAAGTGCATTTCAAGAGGTATGCCATTTTCGAAGGAAAAATTACTTCCTAGCTCAGAGGGTGACGTGAATTTTGTAGAACACTCGGCTAACCATTGATGGTCATGTCCTTATTTCAGAATGACTGTGCTTCATCCACTTCATGATTTTCACTCTGAGCAAAAGGTGATGCGTTGCTGTCTCAAAATTAATGATATTCCTTTGGCTACACTTCTAAGTGACGTTGACCTTTTTCACACTGAGTACGACCAACCAGCAATCTGAAAGTATTGTCCATCAGTCACTTGTCTCTTGTTTGCACAAGGACACGTTATTAGCGTACCCTCACTTTGTAAGCAGCAGTCTATATTTTGTACCACAGGATGTTATCAACGCGCTTCTTGTGCAAATACCCGACGCCGTAAACGAACTTGCCTGTGAGTGGAACGTTCAGCTGAACAGTCGAGCTCAACCGATGCATTGTCCAGTTCACTGGCCGACTGTTCTGAATCCTAGTCCGAGTAGCATCAACTCACACGTCGGTCAACTGAAAATTGCACACTACAACAGCCCGGTAAAGCCAGAGCTGATGAACCAAGCATTTTCCGCCGAAGACGAGTCATCTCCTGGGGACATAGGTAAGTCGCCTAGTTTAGGTGTTTTATGTGAGCCATTTTGAATTGACGTAAGAATACACATGTACTTTTGCTTTGGTGAATTACCGGTTCTTGAACCATACCGGGGTAACTGAAACGTTGGAATATAGGAATCGAATTAGCAAAGGATTAAAAATATGGAGAAGTATGGGACTTCCACAGTGATTCTCAATATTTTTACTCTGAATTTAAAAAGAAACTCACTGATACAAAAGATTATATAACCCACAGTTTTTATCTCCTGAGAGTATTGTAAAGAAAAGGCGAACATCTTGGGGAGAGCAGTGCTACACAAAGCTTGAGATCCACTGAGTCCTGAGTGCGGTCTCTTAGTTGATTTATTTTAGTGACCATTATTCGAATTGAAAATACAAGTCAGAATATGTTTGATTATACACACTAGGGTATTGCAGTTCTGATGGATGAATTCCATCATTCCATCTGCAACCAACCATCGGCGTAAATTTTTGGTGTCACCCTTTTTTCCTCTCATATTCATTCTTTGTTTTCAGTTCTATTACAAGACCTCATTTCTCATCATCTTTAAGAATAACGTCTTAAAATGAATTCAAGCTTATTGGTACATGTGCAGTGATCTGGGTTATAAACACACACGTTTGAAAAATCATCGCACGAATTATTTTGTATGGTGGTGGTGTGCCCCGAAAGTGAAGGTTTTGTATACTATTAGATCAAAGGATTCGTTCAGGATCATGAGATCCGTTTCTCAAAAAACCGATACAGAAAGGGTTCTAGGTCCACACAAAAAATCTCGAAATCGATTGGTAGGGGAAATCAGTTGGGAGTTTTGTTAGACCTCCATTGAAGCCACTGACCACTCAATTCTGTGCAGTGCTGCGACCTTGAAAACGTCATCCCAGTAATTCATTCGAAAAAAATTGGGATGAAGCTGCCGTGGAACATTTCATTTCTTGGATCACATGAGAAAAGCAAAATAGTTGAAAAAGTATTCTGTAAGCCTTATTGCAATGAATATCCGGTTAAACACCCTTATTATTCCGCTTGAACATCAAAAAACAAACGGAGAGATCTCTCTCAGGTTCGTCAGTTTTATGACATGTTTTTAACCGGTATTGCCAATTGTAACTAACAATCATATGAAAAGTCAGTAATGCTGTATCGTTTTAGAGGAGTTTGCTACGCCACAACGAGTAGTCTAGTGGTTCGATTTTCGGACAAATTCTACCGACTAAATTTGATACTAGTCGTAACTCATCCAGAGAAACCTGTGAAGAGGTAATCCCATGGAATTCTTTATACAGAAGATCAGTTTCGAATCATCAGTGAAAGGGGTCACTGAAGCGTCTGTGTCAGGATGTAGCAGAACTATAATTTGACGTAAACAATTTCTCTTCCCACTATCTATTGTGACGATCTACAGGAGTCAAAAAATCTTTTCCGTCGGCAAATATTGCAAATTTCTGACTATCTGGTGCAAGGACAGTTTAGACTTGGAACATTCGTCAACACAGAATTAACCTGAACCTAGGTAAAGCTCTGGCCAGTCATCTGACATATTCGTCACATGTTACCTAAGGAAATAAACTTATGACAAGTCACTGTTCTGCTTCTATATCGAAATTTACACGAGACGTTTTCCTCATCGAAATGTAACTGCCTTTTGGTAACTCGCTTGTTATGGTGACTACTGTGATATACAGACTAAAGAAATTGCGACCCACTTATGTAGTTAGGATCCTGGCATGTCATACGGCTAGTGAAGACAGCTCTTTGATCGTCCGTGCGAGATCAAACATTTATGGGCACAACACAACGGGAAACAGTGACAAAGTGCTCAAAACGCGCGGTTAGCGCAATGTAACCTTATAAATGCCACGCGAAGCAGAGAACAGAATCCGATTGAATACTCTGAGAGCAGATAGCCAAGCTTATTACTTGAATGTGCATTATAAAAAGGAATAAAGAGGGCTATTGCCATGAAACCAAGCGGTAGTCATCGGACCTGAAATCTCCCACTGTTCCATAGTTAAACAACCATACCACTCACATCATCGCCAGTAGTGTAACCATAAAAGTAATAATAATAAAAATGAAATTGGTCTTCTACGGAGATTTGTGAAGCCAAAAATATTGCTTTCTATCCGTCTCAACTGCCCGCATAACTGTAAATGTGACAAAGTGGCGAAATGACTCATTGGGTGCATAGGTGGGTTGGATTGCGATCGATCACGCCATCAAATTTGTTCTCGCTACTAGGATGACCTGCTTTACAAGAGTGTAGTTCGGGGCTTGTGAGTGGCATGACAGGACATGATGACATTTGATGAGCAGTTTTAAACATTTCTGGCAGTAGTAGCTACGGAAACCTGATGCAGTCTTGGCGTCTTTTTAAACGTGAAGGCTAGTGCTTTTTCAAATTTAAATTTACCATCCAATTCCGAATTTACCGATTTCAGCCTTTTTTATGACTTTATTATCACCGTTTGTTTCAGAAGTTGGTATAGCAAAATAGTCTGACAACTGATAATCGCTTTACCTGAAGGATGGCATGCAATTAACCTAATGAAAATATTTTTTCATGTTTATTAACGGTTCGAAAATCTTTTTACGTTTTTCATTATCCATGTCTTTTCCGATGAAATTTAAAGGACTAAGACTTCGGACGAACTTCGTTCAGCAGTATCGATTCTTTCAAAATTTCGACGGCCTAATTCTCAAACACCGTGTTCGAGAACGGCGATCAGCAAATTGTGAAAGCTATGAGACAGACGAGGCACAGGTAGGTACTACCACTGTTATTTTCATAATCCACAACATTCCTGAAAAAACGATGTAATGTGAAAGATTCTGGTCTGAGCTTGAATTCTACTAAATAGGACGTGCGATGATTCTTCAACTCATTTTGTATTATTGGGCGACAGAGAGGAAGATATTCCCTTTTTTACCAAACATTAGTGGGCCGCCAGGAAACTACACATTAGGAGTCAACATTGTTTCTCCTTTCGTATATTTGGTTCCTTGATTCCTGCCATCTGCAAGGCCAGTCGGCTCCATTACGTCATTGGGACTATAGACATCTGTGTTGGGGCCAAGCACTTGTCAATACCGAACTATGGGTGACTTTGTGTATTGATTTTACCGCCCTATTCATACTGTCTGTTCAATAGAATGAATCCGTCTTGATTGAGCTATGACATTGTTTTATTAACCTAGGGGCGCGATAAGACATTCGAACAAGCAATGCATTTCTCATCAACTGAAGCATCAGGCTGTACACAACCAAGTTGTATTTTGCATTAAGTGAAGCAAAAATACGTGGTCACACTCAGCTTCAACCTATCGGTGGTCTACGAGTTAAGCTCCCTTTAAATAATTACCTCAAGGGCGTTGCATGGAGACATACGGTCACATTCAACTGATGCCTCCGGTAATACAGTGTATTTATAGTCAAACACATCCTCGAATGCGCACGTTAACGAAAGCAAGCGACGGGATCTTCTTCTATTTGATCCTTCAAAAGGACGATAAACTGAAAGATCCCAGGACCAAATTATTCACGCACATCAGACAGGGTAGTAAAACAGGACTAGAGCTTTCCAGTTTATTATTAGCCAGTCAGTTTCTGTGTCTGTCCCAAAAAATGGCTGCTATAAATTGGCTGTAGTTTTGCTTAGGAAGGCTTGGGTATGGATCGGTGACAAAAAGTTACATGCTTTTTGCTGAAAATTTCTTATTACGGCCTTGTAGTTTCAGTTTTATTTTGGAGGTTACGCATTACGAAACCGATGGATACTATTAAAAAATAGAGGCTTGTTTTGTACAGTTTTCCGAATTCTTTGGTCATACAACAGACCATATTCACTGAAAAGTTCTTTTGTTGTTAATAGTGCAACGACGTGTAAAGTCTGAGGCATCAACCTCAGCTACACATCTACACAAGGCCTCGTCAAAGCTCGCTACCTTTGCTTACCTTTTATTTTTTAAGAAGAAATGAGTGTCACAATATTTTAAGAATAAAATGGGATTCTGGCTTTATTTTTCATCTGACCCGCGGAACCATGTTGAAATAGTCAACCAACCCTCGATCGAACGAATTTCGGGGGTTCCTGAATTGGGCCCAAGTGATAACATATAGTATTCTGTATACCAGATCAATAAAAATATGCAGAAGATTCATCGGACTCCTTCCGTAAATCAATCTGTGATACACAAGCGTAGCTGATGGGCAAGTGCTTCTGTAATATATATCTCGCAGTTCCCAGCCAAAGGGTCACGCTGTAGAACCAGTCTATCAACACACGATTTGTCTTCAGTAAGGACGGAATGCCCCTTATGACCGTGCTCATTTCAAATGGTCCTGGTTTGGTCAGTGTCGCTTACCTATCTTGAGTCGGGATTAATGACCAGAGAAGCCAGTTTAAATTCATCACTTAGTTAGAAGCGTAACTAAGGAAGCATGTAGGCATGCAAACAGACAAGCAGGTAAATAACTAAATGAATAAGCAAATAAATAAGTAGGCAGGTAAGTACATGAAGGGGCGAGATGGCCCAAGTGGTTAGGGCGCGAATTTACTGACCGGAAGGTCCGTGGTTCGAATCCCACCTCTGCCACTCGACTTCCCCTGTCTAGACCTGGGCGACCTGGCAGTATCCCAGTCCTCGTGCGTCCTCCGGGTGGCATGGCAGCTAGGCACCGGAAGGATGTTACAGCTGAACGATTATTATTATTTGCATAAATAAGTAAGTAGCTAAGCAATCAAACATTACTCCGCACAGTAAAAGAATCCAATAACTATACTGTCAAAACGCACTTTGAATTTAAATTGATATCTCGCCTCCTCGACTCAAGTCAGTAAAAAAGACAATAAACTACTTTGGAAAGAAAATAAAAATGAATATTGTGTCACCGTTCAGTGCATATAAAGCTCTAGAGTACATTTCAGCTGCTATGCATATAGTTCAGCGGGACACGAAAAAAAATCTGTTGCAATGAATGATGGAGGTAAATACCCTTTAATGAAAGGAATCAAGGTGTCTCACATCCGTTGTTTATGATGTGCTGTGGAGATGCAGCTGGTGCACGGTCAACTTTGATTGTACAATGCTTAGCAACAATGCTATTACGTACTGCATTTACTTCGGCCCCAATTAGGATGACAGCAAGCTACTCAGCTAGGACCGAACGAATACGATTCACGATGTTCATGAGTGAACTAGTTCATCCTAGATATTAATAAAAACCCATAGGGGTACACCATCTCTCATCCTGAGGGAAAATAGCTTCAGTCGGACTCATGTGAACGACTATAAGATGAGTATGCTATTGCAGGAGCATTAGTTAGTAGTTTTTTTAGCATTCCAGGACATCTTACTGCATGTTGGTATGTTAGAGATTGCATTGTCACTAATACAAACTGATTGCCAACTGCTATTGCACTTCAAAAATTTGACAACTCAAAAATTCAAGTTTTGAATCCCTGATAAACTGATGGTAACTGTCCAGCTAGGTAAGGATGAACTTCTTGAAAGTTTAGTAAATTGGAGGTTGAAGAATTTATTTGTAGTGCGCTAACTTGGACTCGTTAATTCCAAGGTGTTCAAAGAAGACCGGACGCTGTGAGGTATAGATTCACAATTTGCGGAAACTATTCGAGGACCATGCCCAATCAGCACGTATAACTTTATCACCATTTGTACGAAGTAAGCATGGTCTGAATGTGACCTTGTTTTGCAACCTACTACTTCCAAACTCGAAAAAAGGTGTTTGATTCACCACTTGGTGTAGGGTCACGTCGATCTTTGCTCGCACAGGTTATCGCAGTTCCTTAAGTTGTAGATGTATTATGTTTTTATTCCTTTTAGGCCTCGCTTGCTGGAGAGTGTTCAGAACTAATTTCACAAGTGCAAATTCGTCACAGGATACATCCTTTCTACATGCACTGTGAACTAGAGCCAAAGGCAATACCGACAAAATGTGCCGAAGGTTGTGTTGTTGACCAAGACGCGGATGTCACTCTAGTCAGTCAACTTACATTTGACAGGTGAGAATGGATGAGGCAAATCTGCAGAGTTTAGTACAAAAGAAATGTGCTTCGTTACTTGGTTTGCCGAGGGAAGATCCATTCACGTTTACATCACTCTTTTGAACAGTCGAACCTGTTCCCATTGGTTGAAATTTTCTTCTCAGTTTGACCTGTGGTGGCCGTTATAAATGCTTCACAAACAGCAATTTTATTCCTGAAAGAAAAAATGGCCTTGAAAAATTCTCAAAAACGAGTTGATCATCGTTGGTTTGTTCGCTGTGCTGGGTAGTTCACTGGGCAACAGCGAACAAACCAACGACCATCTACGCCACTTAAGCTACCTTTATAGAAAACGCATTTAATAAATGAACTTTCCTAAAAGGCCAATTTCGTGAAGACAAACTCGGATGATGTTGGCTAAATAAGTTCAAGGTTAATGTGGTGTAACATTTGAAACAGATTATTGTCTTGGTTGGAAACAGACTACATAAATATTGATTGTGTGCAGTAAACGGATGAAGGATTTTACATCTACTAACTATTTAGTCTAGACCTATCCCAACAAGACCGTCATTTCAGTTTCAGTTTCTCAGTTTTTTGACAACAGTAGGTCTTACCCATGCGTTTTTCTCAAATGATGCAAACGTGTTGGATGTATATCCGTAATACTCTACACATAGGTTTGCTGAAAATTCTTCGACAGCCCATCTTGTAGCTCATCATGTAGGCGTATTTCCCGAGTTTTCGTCAACTTTATGTTCTACTTGAAACTAAAGTGCACGAAATTAGCGGAATACACCCATTCGGAAAAAATTTGGTTTTGCGGGAGACTCACCTAAAACCCATCTTAATCTCTCGTTTGTGATGTTTCCAGGTAACTGAATCTGCTGAAAATGAGCTTATTTCCCCAGAAATGTTACACTTTACCGTCCTTTCGTTGAACTGCTGTCCAACGACATTTAGGTATATAAAACTGGTACGATGGGGGAGTAGTACGGCAACAAATACGAATGATTTTTGTCGGTGGTAGACCCCATATGAAGAACTTGTCCAGTAAAAAAGTACGGTTATCCGGTTCGCTAACTTGACTTTCACATTAAAAACACTAATAGAAAGCCATTTCGGTGCTTACGGCTCACCTGACCACGCAGCACATATTGTGATGTTTGGTACAGTTAGCGACACATGTCAGAATGATATGTACGGAGATTCAGTTGGAGCAATGCTTATGAAGTCTAGGATAATCATGTGATGAATATTTTGTATCCCCTGCTTGATTGCAGGGAAACAAGAGTAAACTACTTCCCCCGTCTGTTTAGTTTTCGACGCACCTACATAAATGGTCACTACTAGCGCGCTATTAGTCGTGGATAGTCGCAGCCGTGACTAACCGACCACTTGTTGTGCAACTCTGAGTTTCGAATTCAGTAACAAAAATTAATCCGTGTATGCACAAGAAAGAGCCTCAGAATAGCAAAATGAAATATCAGAATAAAAACGGCAGCGTTACACTTAGTGTTTTAATTAATACGTCGTCAGCACAAACCAAATTACAAGCTAAAAACAGTTGACCAAAGTAGCTACGATGCGATTGAACGAAAGATAATTATCTTTTTACTTTTCTAAGTGTGAGCGGAGTAAGCTGCAGAAAGCCTATTGTGCTGCACGGTTGGGGAGTTGTGACGTCCCCACCGAAGCACATGGGTTAGAACAACTTCAGGGTCTGAATGAAGTATCACTGAACACATACTTATTTAAATTATCTCGGCAGCTGCTGTATTTCTATCTAGATAGCAGTCTCCAAAAGAACGACACCCAGGCTGACCAGCGTAAGTTTACTTCCGTGCTTTCCAAAAGGTAATACATGCAAGAAGTATCCTTGTATTTCCCTAGAAGTTTAATCAAAAGCAGGTGTAAACCACTCCACGACTCAAACGATAGTTAGTACTGTCTGCGAATTAAAGACAGATGAAGAATTTGAAGAACCATTGTATTCATTTTTCCCTGGGTATAGAAAAGCTCTATTCACCCAACAAAAGAAAGCGTACGTTCCTTTTAATTTCATGACAGAGGACAGAATCCATTGTAACAAAGTCGCACTAAGTTGTTGACGACAGAATATTGTATATGATTTTACTCATGCCCTGGTCTCTGCTTGCCTTCAGAATACATCGCGTAGAAGAGATTGCAAAGCGTTGGGAGGGGCCGGTGAGTTTGGCTCTTTACGTGACAGACCGAGATGCCGCGATCCTCGTGGATTTTGTGAGCCGATCACAACTGCTAGTCAACCGCACAAACATCGGATATCACCTGGTTTATGTTGACGGTGTAAGTTTATGGCCGTTTAGGAGGATTCTAAGAATTCGTTTTATTGTTCTTCATGTTCTCACCTGGTTTATGTTGACGGTGTAAGTTTATGGCCGTTTAGGAGGATTCTAAGAGCTCGTTTTATTGTTGTTCATGTTCTATAAATATCTGTTCTCCTGGCTCGAATGGAGCCAGGAGCAGCTAACCTAACCGCAAACACCAAGCTACCCCAAGTGTCTCCTATCAGAAAAGCTAGTGGACAAAACTGCAACGTTCGAGGGATTAGTGTGTTTTCTCATTTGCGCGAGGAAGCGGAGTGGTTTTACAACACTGAAATGTAGAATTAAACTTTGTGGTGTTAAATATTTATTCAAAAGACTGATAATAAAAGGGTTATGCTAGGTTTTCTGTGGTGTCGTACAGAACACAAGGAGCGTGCCAGTCTTAAGTAGCGGTCAAGTGTACATTCCTAAATAAATTGGTTTACAGCATAAGAGTTTTGAATTAGAAATGATATGCTTGATGTGTGGCCAATTTTTAGTCGACTATTTGTAAAGCGAATCGCAGAGTGGCTATCAAAATTTCTAGTGGGTATTCTGTTTTTTTCTTGAAATGCCTACCACTTGCAAATGTTGGAAAGCAAAACATTGGAGCATGTGACTTGTGTTGTTTGAGCAACTCAAATGTTTCAGAACAAGAATGGCCTCAGCTGTACCTAGAAATTTATCAGTGTCATGTCGTCTCAGAGAGGTTTGTTGAAAGATAATTACCCAGTTAGTCCCAAACACTTTCTAAATGATTATCAGTCAGATCATACGATGTTCGTATCCCTTAAGGACGAACGTCAGTCGAGTGATGTATATGTACACTAAATCGACTTTCTCCCGCTTGATTTCTCTATTACTGTCCACAGATTTTATACCCGATCAACAAGCTGCGTAACGTGGCGATGCAGTTCGCACAGACCAAGTTCATTTTTATACTTGATGTGGACTTTATTCCTAGTCCAAATATGTACAGCGAGTTAAAAACGACAATAGAGAGGCAGGTACGAGGACCGGTAAGTCAATTGTTCTCGGATTAACCCTTAAAAATATTGGAAATTACTACAATTGTATTTTTCTCATTTTCGCTCTCTTTACTAATAGATGGTACCCCTTGTAAAAACATACCTGTTGGAGAGAGTGCAATGGGCATAACTCGCGATTTCACAGTGAATCCTTTGGGCTGTAAACATCAGTTTCTGGTTTTTATTTCACACTAGTCATTCTGCCATGAATTGGAAAATTTCTTCCAACTTCTTCCTCTACTTTTCAGTTCCAAATCCAACAGTGGAATTTTAATCAATGAGAGTTTTTGTTCAGCTAAGACACTGAATTTATTATATTGATCAGTGGGTTGTTAGTGGAAGCTATAGCAATTGGGGAGATAGATCATTTCCAAGAAAGGTTCGCGTAGGGAACTCATTATTGGTACCTCACAGCAACAGTGGTGAATCATTTAGAAGTTTGGCAGTTTTGTCTTTCACCGACTACAGTAACCCACTTGATGAAACTGCTTATCGTTAAAGTTACCCATCCTTGACCTGATAGGCCGTGAAATACAATAAGTAAATCTACTGATTCTTTAATTCGGCAGGAGTGGATGCCTACTTAATAACGGTCAATATTTTGACTACTTTAAGTTTTAATTCTGTTAAGCGGGAAGTCTTTGTGATATAGCAGAATCCCACCTGAAATCGCAATAGGTTACATGAATGTTCAGAGGCGAAGTCCCCTCCATTAACGAGAAAATTTTGCTTTTCTTGGTTTCGTCTGTATAGTACTAATAAAAAACAGACCTGCTAAGCATAGAACAGTTGCTCTTTCTGACGAATAGTCGATACGTTTTTTAGCATGACACTTGCCAACTGATGTTATACATACATTTATTTCTCAAGAAGCTAACCACCATTCACAGCAAGACTGATGTATCTGACTTCATTCCTCAGCGTTCTCCTAGAGGATTGCGGCAAAAACCTCAGTATCTGCTAGATTAGGACAGATGAATTTTTATAGTTCTTCGTATTTTGCTATCAGCATTGAGTCTTATTCTTATTTTATGCATGTAGAACCCAGACTTCATTCTCTCTGTAGCACGCTGTGAATGGGTGGCTTAATGGACCATGGCTGCTTGGTAATCCCCCGTGTTGGTGAACTAATTGTATTCAGTCAGAAAGCTTATCTTCAAAGATTTCACTTCAGATAATTTTTATTATAAGCTGACTGGCTGACATGGTGCTACCTCCAACCAATACGACTATTTTTCTTTAACCAAATGGATGTTTGTTGACCCGGTTGTGTTGAGGATAACCTCACGAAAACTCAAGAGAACGATTGCTGGATTAGGCTATGTTTAAGGTAAAATAAATGCCAGGGTTAATACCTCACATGTTAGATTTTACTAATGAATATGCAAATTAAACTGCCAACACAAATGCAGACACTGTATTTCAGTTAAGCTGATGATCGTTCATGCTTTCTCTACCAGACAAAACCAAACTATTTCACAATGGATCAGCTGAAATGTTATGAAAGTTCGGCCGATAGTCTATCTCTAAGAGACCTCATTAAAGCACAGTGTTGAGCCAAGTAGATGGAATAACAGATTATTGGACAAACATAACCCACCGTTTTCCTTTGAGAAAGTTTTTCACCATTATGATGTGCTTACCATCCTTCGTCCGGCTCAGTGGGCGCTCCGATTTCTTCTGAAGAGTGTGTTGAGAAGCGCAAGGTGTATTCAGTTGAAGGGGTCCTCATTTTGGGATTTTTAGACGTATGTAAAATTGCTTTGGAAGTCCTGATACCTTCTTGCATAGCATAGCCACATCAAGCACTCGTATTCTTAGCTGAATACTCTCAATCAGTTTCCCTGGCCATTGTTGATCGTATCCAAAAAGTGAAATTGAAAAAAGAGATACAGGTGGCCATATAATCAATGAAGCTTCAAAAAATAGTTCAAATGCCATCCCAATATTCAGATAAACCGGCGGTTTTGATTACGAATAGTGCAACACCATAATAATCCTACCACAGGCAATTCCATCAAGTGTTAAAGTGCAAATGCGTCTCATGGGAGAGAAGAGTCTGGTGACGGCAAAAAGTTGGGCACTTTCAAAGACTAAATGGCTTTGCCAGTCTACGACGAGGGTCCGAGGATGCTCCTTTGTGAATAGCAAGTAGTTTACAGCTTTTGTTTTATTGACATCTACAGTAGCAAACAAAATCACTTCCGGGTATAAATATAAGTTGTTAAGCTTCCTCCAGCTCCTCTGAATGTTAATTTTAATGCTTTAACACACCTTTGAAAGTGGTCCTGAAGCAGACAGGTTCATCTGATACTTTCAAGGGGGGTGAACTCACGGTTATTGACTGTTACCAGAAAATACCTGCTTTAAAACAATTATGCTCTATTTGCTTTCCCTTAGGATAAGGCAACACAGATAGAAAGATGGTGCCTGGTTGTGCCTGCATTTGAGACTTTCGGAGAATATGTTCAGCTACCGGAAACCAAAGAAGCATTGCTGGCTCAGTGGGCCCAAAATCTAGTGGTTCCATTCAGACATGAAATATGGACTGCGGGCCACATGGCTACCGATTATGAGAAGTGGAAGAACATGTCAGATTTGTACGAGGTAAGGTGACCAATTTACGTGCTCACAGACCACTTTGTTTTTTGTTCGACTGAATCCAGTTACGGAGGTCATACGCGAATGGGTTTATACATCAAGTATTCTTCCGCCTAATAAGGACAGTTGAATACAGTGGTTCTAATTTTAACGTAACATGCAACTCGCGCACGACCAACCTGATTCATGAGGTTGGATCTGCGCGCCAACCTGATGTATCCCTTATTTGTGTTATATTCAGGCTTTTAACCTTGAATCTGTTCTGAACAGTAAAGAACAGCTGTCGATGACTTGAATGCACAACGCCACACCAAAACACGTCCAGAGGTGTCATAGTGAGTCTGTCAAAGTGTCTTGATTACAACTCCGACTATTATCTTGCGGGTGTACGCAGACAGGCATATTCACAGTCATTTAGGATTTTATCTACGCAGCGTAAATTTTAAGCACAAAGAAGGGTTTCCTTCGCCAAGTACTGTACTTTAGCTCAAAGCAGACCGCGGAATTTCGAGCCAGGTTCAGTCAATCATGCTATGGTAAACGGCTTACAAGAACTTGCTAGTGTTGTCAACCGCCACAAAGTCATATTGGAAGATCGGTTGTTACTTGGTAGACCATTAGAGAACGGACTGTCAAAAATTAGCAAAAAGCATATTGTGCCCGTTTGAAATAGACTCTATGCAAACCTAATGAGAAGTAAAAGCATGCTGAATAATACTTATTGTCATTCAGACCAGCAACTTATTTCGTTTCAGGTTTTTTGGTCTGCTGACTATGAACCGTACATTGTGATTCCACGTAACGTCTTGCAATTTGATGAACACTTTGTCGGTTTTGGATGGAACAAAGCATCGTTCGTGATGGCATTGGACGCCTTGGGCTACCGTTTTCTCGTTCTTCCGAATGCATTCATTCTCCATCTTCCCCATCCGCCGAGTATTGAAGTACTCCGGTTCAGAAGTGATTCTGTTTACAGGTAAGAAAAGCGATAAAGTTGGAAAGATAAATTTTCATTTTCAAACAAAATTCTGATCACGCGGGTTTGGGAAAAGTATGTGAATTCTTTGAAAAATTTTGCGATGATCCAAACTCCGAAACTCGTTTTTTCTGAGTACTGAGAACGGAATAGAAGTTCATCCTTTCGTTGTACAAGATAGAGACCAACTTTTGATCAACAGCAGGAAACATTTCAAAGATCTTACTTTTGCGGTACTTGCACATCCTTTGATGAGAGACATGTTTCCAAAATTGTAAAGCCAGGGAGAATGTGAGACCCAACAAGATAGATAGATAGATAGATAGATAGATAGATAGATAGATAGATAGATAGATAGATAGATAGATAGATAGATAGATAGATAGGTTATTAGGTAGACTTACAGACGGACGTCTCGTCCGATGCTTTTTCATTTATGTGTATGCGCGAGAATGTTAAGTTGTTTACATAACAATGAGATAATTTGCTCTTGCGAAGCGAAGTCGCATCGGAGAAGCTAACTGGGGAAGTTTATTTGAAATCTACTCTTATCATTCATAGATTGAGTTTGTCTACCAGTTGAGAACGAAACGGTAGATTCCATGTCCATAAAGTATGTGCGTAACTATATTTGAAGGTATTACTAGTTTTAATTGACTATCTTCCTAATGGGAGATCCGATTGGCGAGGTCTGAACGAGTCGTCCGGTGTACCTGAACGAAACCATGAACAAGAACGACACATTTGAGAAGCGAAACATCAACGAGGAAATGGAACTAATGGTTAACCGGTGAATGAAGTTGATTCTTCTTTTACATCCTTCATGCGTGAACCAGACAAAGTGACAGTGTAGCAACACAAGATGAGCGGGAAAAGAAGGTTGTAAAACATACTTAAGCGAATAAGTAAATCACCACACCTTTACGAGAGAAAAGAGGAGTTCCATTGGCTTCCGGATGAATGTTTTGAGGAGAACACCCAAAATTAAGGTGGAGCACTTTCTCAATCCTAAATATTCAAGGCAGGAGTTCCATAAACATTGTACGCACTGTCGACGACAAGCTGTGCAAGGCGCTTCTCACAAAGATGAACAAAAATTTGACATAAATGCCTTATTTCTACCAAGTATTTATACAACCTAAGTTGTGGGTTCTAATTTAGAAATGCAGGAAATTAGTTCAGATTAGTATAACTTGAAATACTTAACCTCAAGTTGGGAAAAATATTTGAACCGTAAAAAACATCTGTATATCTGAGGAGTTTGACACGGTAGGAACTCATGATGACCAGCAGGTTCACGTGTGGAATGTATACCCAACTTTTGTGTACTGTGAACGGATGGGACAAACACTGAACGGACATCCATTTGGGTGTAAACTTCACCGAGCGCAGTATGACTTAATTAGAAAGGGTTATCTGTCCACATTTAAAAAACAAAGCAAAATTGACTGAAATACGTGTTACTATAGAATTTCTTTGGCTCAAAGATACATTAGTTAAGTTAACATTCGCTTTATGAGCGGGCAAGAAGAAAACCATGCTACATAACACTGCTTCGACCAGAATTTTCAACAAAATGAGTAAAAGACAAGAGGATGTTATCTTTTACCGACTCATGAGGTGGACCTCCGCAGCTATGGTGTAAAGAAAATTATGAATATCAACTGCCTACGAGATATTGCTAGTGTAATGTCGTTTGGAAGAGAAACGGACAGAAGGAAATTTGGGCGTCCGTTGGGATCAAACAGTGGGTCAAGTCCGCGAGATGAATAGTTGTACCAAACTTCATTCCAAAAAGAAAACTAATACGGCGCCTTTTCTATTGCGTCCAGCCCCTTCAGCCGCACAAAAGCGTAGACCATAGTTTTTTTATTTCCAATCAAATTTGTGAAAGGAAGTTCTCAAGGCAATACGGTTACTATTTTTCTAAGAAAGCTCTGCCTGGCTTCAAAGTCATTTCGATGGAAGAAACAAATTGTCACCGTAACGAAATTCTCCTCGTCAGGTCATTGATACCAATTCGACAGCTCGTAAATGGCTTCAACCTTCAGTGGGTCTCACCAAGTATCCATAGTTTTGTAGTTTTCGTCACCCATATTTTCTGTTTGGAATCAAAATGGAAGAAATGCACGAATTACAGTCATTTACAGACTATTTTAGTTTCATCGGAAGACTAGAACGAACTAAATTTGATGCGATATTCTTTCACTGAGTGTGCATACCCTAAAGAAAATATACTGCGACTTCTCAAATATTGTATCGACTGAAGTATGAGGCGGTTTTATGCAGCAAATCCTGAGTTAGAGATTCAGTCAAGTCTCATACTAGGACGAAATTAATTTGTAGGTGGGTGTGTTTCTCACTCGATATACTCATGAAAATGATAAAGTAACATGTGGAATTCAGTAACGCCCAGAGGCGGTGTACGTAACGCAACCATTTCCACCAAAAGGAATTAAATTCATTCGTTTTTAGCTTTTGCATTTGAAATTTTTGTTCTAAAATTATCCAAAAACACCAAGAATAGAAAGAATATGAATGCGTTTTCGTAAATAAATTGACGTCAATATCGTACGTAACCACTGCTTCCAACAAATATTTTGACGACAATGGTATCCTAATTTTGGAACAACTTTGATTGACAGTTAATATTAATGTATTTTCATTTGAAAATAATATTCGTACCAATACGCATGCATCAGGAGAGGATAAAGTTATACAGTTCACCATTGTAATGTACTACTCATGAGGTTGCTGAAAATTCGTCGACAGCCCACGACCGGTTTCGTCCTTTTTGGGGCTCATCAGGTAAGCGCAATCCCCGGGTTTCCGTCAACTTTATGTTCTAAATGAAACCAAATTGCACGAAATAAGCGAATATACACCCATTCGCAAACTTATTTGGTTTTTCGAGAGACTCACTTCGAACACAGCTGAATCTCTCGTTTGTGCTGTTCTTAGGCAACTGAATGTGCTTATACAGTTCAAGTTTTAACGTGAAAAATCGCTATTATCATGATTTGTTGTTCGTTTAGATCGTGTGTTGACAAGATCAAATTAGACTACATCACACACCTGGCCAAAAAGCATGGAGTTCGTGCATTGAAATACCTGGATTTCCGAAAGGATACAGTCAGTCCATAATCCTGTCAAATTTACAATTAAATGTGATTTGTACAGAAGATTTACTGCTTCCGCCATCCGCATTCATACTAGTTGTATGGGAAGAAACAGAGTTATTTTAATAAATTTGTGGATACTTCCTTTGTTTTGCTTGAAAGATGGGAAGTGAAGCATCAGAACGACATCCATGTTGCGTAGAAGTTTTTGATAACTGATGATTTCATAAACAACAGTATCTTGGCGTATAAAAGATTGAGTCAGGCTTGGAAGTGAGGAATACAGGTCTGATTGTAGCCTGATAGTCAAATGGACTAAATGTCATCACATCAAACAGAGAAGTTAGTAGGTTTGGTTTGGTTACCACGCCACAAACCTCAAGTTTCGATGCATTCTCTGATGTAGCAGTATGTCTCAGTTAATATTAGGCCAGCACCCATGGCCTCTCCTGTTTACACCGACGAGCGTCACTTTCTATCTTCGGTCTCATTAAGTGAACTTCATTTTTTGTCTTTATATTCTTCCAGTTTGTTGTTTAGTGGAATTCGGGTAGATTATGTGACAAATCTGTCTGGCAACACTGACTGCGACGGTCAAGCAAACTTAAAGGACTAATGCATGGTCATATGACTGATGTTCTTAAACAAAGTGCCTGACTGAACCCGATTTCTTTCGACCTCCCATATGTCTCATATGTTCTTTAGTCAGAAGATGAGCCACCAGAAATGTTGCTCAACCATTAACGTCCTCAAAAGTGAGCTGAATTTACAGAATTCTTGCTTGAAAATGCCATGAACTCCGGTGCAGCAGTCATCTGTCACAAACCCATGGGGGCGTATTATCCGAACTTGTTTTCATAATATCCAAAAATACGATAAGCAGTGGCAGCATATCGTACAAATTTTAGGGGGTTGCAGCTCTGTGACTGGTTAAGATACTACCAGAACCATTACCGAAAAAGGAAGACCTTTCTGAAAAGGCCGCCGGAATGCAATGGCTTATCAACTGAGATTGAGTCTGCATTCATGGGCTGACGTATGAGAAGTTCTCATAGAGGTACATCGTAAGACCATCCAGTTCTCCTTCCTAATCATATTCATGTGTCACTCAATCGGTTCTCGGTTTGGTGTCACTGTATCCACGGCAGCTGCTCGGGCATAATTCCTTTGCATTCGGGACCACTGGTTTTCGGGTATTTTTGAAACTTGCTTATCCTTCAACATTTACCTTAAATCTCCGCAAAGTTTCAATACAGATCCATCCTTTTTAACTTCCCTTCCATCCACCTTGAAGTAGGTTTTCCTGGTACATGAAATACCGGCATTCCAAGTGTGCCCCGGAGAGTGATTTGTTTACAGTTAGCACAGTGCGTCACTTTTGCGAAATGGGACCATACTGGGACCTTTTTGCAACACAATGATACAATCTATTAGGTGACTGTGCTCAGATTTGGACATGAGAACCTATTTCCACCCCATAATCAACCATTTTCGTCTCACTGTAGTGCACACTGTCAGTAGTCTTTCAGTATTGTAATTTATTAATGTGGATCCAAAAGGAACCGGCTTCTGCCTACGGGTTTTACCGAGCTCTCCCTTCAACGCGAAAATGTAAATCATGCCACAATACTGGGAGTCAGCTGAGGATTTGGGTATGATAAGGGTCTAAGAGTTAATTATTCACTTGAGTGTAACACTGTAAGGACACAAGAGATACGGAACATGTCGAAACTCGCTCTTTACGGCCGCAGTCAGACGAATATCAACTTAAGCTTGGTGCAGTTTGTTTGGTCCATTATTCTCTGATTCATGTGAGATGCAACTGTGAATCAAAATTAGCGTTCGAGCCGGCTTTCTTGTGTTGTTCTACTCCGGTGGAAAGTATGATTAGAGTCAGTCTTCCGTAACTTTTGTTGTTCACTCAGCCGACTTTCGCAAAGTACAACAAGGTCTGAGGTCATTTACAACACCAGCCGTCCGTATCGTGTGTTGGGAAGTAAAGCTATTTGACTGTTTAGCCTGAGCATTCGGAAAACTCATCTGTAAATTTCAAACTCGGGTAATGCAGGACTGATCTAAGTCATGGGAACACGTAATAGGGTATGGAATTCTGATTTTTACTGCCACTATTATCGCTACTGACCACAGAAGATGCTCTTTGAACGATTTGTTTTGTTCTTTAAAAGTATTTCGACCGTAGTAGGATATGCACCGGTGGTCTAAGTCATCTGAACTGTGACTGGGGTATGCGCGGTCATAACCCAACTTTTCTAGCCTGTCCTTCCTCGACAGAGGACACCATAACCGATCCAGTAGATACGGCGATCTTGGTAGCCTGGAACAAAGCATCATTATTCTCACATTGCTATCCTAGCAACCTGTATGACTTTACCCATAGACCGCCTCGCAGTACTATTCAGCGTAGTACGAAAACTCTCTGCCGTTTATTTGGTTGCTTTCGGTCGACCTTTTCTGAAAAGCTGAGTCGCAAGTAACGGTGTGTGTGGCTCGCAGGACAGGTCTAGCACTGAAGACAGACCACCATTACAAGGGCGCAGCACTGTGTTTGGTCTAAAATACAACACCTTAGTGATGTTTGCCAGGTACACCACTCTTTCTCTGCAATATGGGAAAAAACTGTAAAGTAAAACTGTGTTGTTTTGGATAAGTAAGTCAGATGTTTGCACTTTTGGTAGGCTCTAATTTAAGTAAGGTATAATTCAGTTTGACCTCGCCATACTAACTCAGTTTCGGACTAAAATCTGCATCGGACAATGTAGGGGGTAATGAATAAAGCAGAGTAAACATTGAAAACGGTACTGTTGTCCGCTGATTTTTTAATAAACCCCGTCCATGCATTCAGCAATAAAAAGGCTACACGCAGATGAAACCCGCACTAGTATTTTATAGTTATCAGTGTGTTAATAGCACAAACGACATCCATGTATGATGGGTAAACGACGATAATGGGGTTCTGCTGTGCTGTATAAATAAGTATTCACATCCTCTTAATAGATCATAGTCATCAAGGACTCCACTACTTACTACTCCGTATGGGTCTGTAAGGCACTGCGTGATTGAATCACAGTTTCCTATGCCTTCTCATATTTGAAAAAACTACTAACAAAGTTCCACGGTCCCATATTACTACAGTGCAGCGGCTTCCAATGAAATGTCATACTCCAGGTTGGTAGCACAGCACTACTCGAAGTTGACCAGTAGTATGGTACCTATTGCAACTACTCTGCTCACATGCAGCATCGTACGCCTTATAGGCAACAGGCGACCATGATAATGATCGGCAGCCTATGGTGAAATATCTGCATATTACCACCAAACTGTGGAGCTCGAAATGGCTTGAAAAGATGTTATCCATGCAAATGTGGGCTCACGCTAGACTTGTCCCAAATATTTCAGCACAATTTTGCCGATTTTCGAATGACAGTCTGATGAACCAATCAGTGGTTGTTTTTGTCAGCGGGGGATGAAAAAACTGAAATTTTTGTTGCAAATTCGTAGTTAATGAGAATATTCCAAAGATTTGACACCACATTCTTTACGTAAGCCATAAACATCTTTACGAGGAAGCCGACAGTTGGCGCATCTGTTTTTCCCCTAAGTTCCGAGCTCACACGTTATTCAGGTGTGGAATTTCGTAATCAGGAAAGGAATGTTCCTTCCATGTTGCACAAACCAAGAAGACCTCCTCTAAGCTGAATTTAGAAAGTGTTGAGACGTGTCTTGTTCAGTGCGAAGATTTACTTTTAGACCAGAGAAGAGGAGTCGTAAACTTTGCTTGAAACTCCTCATTCTTCATCACCGCGCACAAATTCCCTCAAACACTTGATTATCTCCTTCTTTTTAGTAGTACACTGCTATTACTGATGGTGCATTCACCATGGTTCAATAGAAAAATTGTCCACTTCCTGACGCTTTTGCTGTACCAGTAAGCTATGGTTTTCTCTCTGTACATGTGATTGCATAAATAAGAATAAGAATCCTTCAGTTGTACTACCATTTTGGTGCATAGCTTCCATACCACCAGAGGGAAGCTCGGGGTCTGATATACTGCCAACGCTAGACAGGATCAGTCGAGATGAAGAGGCCGGTTTCGAACCACTGACCTTGCTATTATTGCGTTCGCGCTTTTAACACTGGCTCATCCTCAGTTCTCGAGCTTGTGATAGCATATTTGACTATTTTGAACCTTTCCCAATCCAAGGGGCTGATCAACCGCCTGAGTGACAACGAATTGATTTACTTTAAACTCTTTCGATTTTATCCTTTCTGTCACGTGAAGTTACTGCTCTAACAACTATTCGTTCTATTGATTGCTATGGCTGTTCAAGGTTTACGACATTCTTTTCTAAGGAATAAAATTTATCTGTAAACTGAATGAATCTACACAAAAACGATTGCTCATTTCAAGCGATAGAAAATGCACAAAAAGGGCCGGTACACAAAAACATCCGAAATGTTTCGATCCATGTGCATTTTACCTAGAACAAAAGATTAAATTGTTGATGTGCGTAAATCTTCCGGCCATGAAAGCACACAAAATAGGGGCTAACAGTTGGCATACCTGGTCAAGCGATTTCGGAACTGTTCACTTTTAGCTCCGTCAAACCTTCTAGTTAGTGACTATTGAGGAAGTTCCAAAGTTCACGTGATCCTACTGAACATTGGGGATTTTCCGTTGGAATTCGATTCTTTAATTTTCAAAAAATTGTTCGTGCATCATCATCACCATCAAAATCAGCGGAGACATACAGACAAATGCCTCACTGCCGTAAAACCATAAGGTTTTTCATGTATTTTCCGCCACCCATGTGACCTGTATTGTTTTTTCTTGAAAAAACTGTTTAAAATGGTTCTACCCTTACAAATTCTATTCCTCTATCTCCAATAAAAAGCATTAGGCGGGTTCTGTGAGCATTCGAAAAGTAAAACCATAAGTTTTTCATGTATTTTCCGCCACCCATGTGACCTGTATTGTTTTTTCTTGAAAAAACTGTTTAAAATGGT